AGAGCGACTGTTGAAAATAAGTGTATCGATAAAGTTATATTCAGAAAGAATAAACCAGTTTTATTAAGTAAGGACTTGTGTCGCTAAAGTTTCGTCGGAACGAAGTTATGGAAAATCAATTAACGACTGGAGGCGTAACAATATGTTGGGTGTTTAGGTAGTTTATGTTTATGGGTTAATAGATCGTGTGTTATATTTCCTCTTTATGAGGTACAGTAGCTATGAAAGTCTATAAGTTGGGCGTTTAGGTATTTTATGTTTATGGGTTAATAGATGGTGTATTATCTTTCCTCTTTATGTAGTACAGTAGCTATGAACGTCTATATGTTGGGCGTTTAGGTAGTTTACATTTATTGGTTAATATATCGTGTATTAAGTGGGTTGGGCCTGAAGCTTCGACAGCCAGAATCCAACCAATCAACGAACATCAACTTCTACCCTCAAGCTTTACTACTTGAGGTGTTATCACTTATTTCCATCCACTAACACAATTAGTTTAAAAAATCTCCAAGCAGCCCACAGAAATATTATGTAATGGTTTTTAAAAATAAGATTATTAACCTGGTCACTGCCAGGTGCAGTGTTCTTTAGGCGGCAGGTTTGTATTTTAATTACAGTGAGTGAAATTGGTCTGAATATGTCATTACATGACGGCCGAGCACCCTGGTTGAGTGAGACTAGGAATTGTGCATTAAATTTACCTGAGTTATTAGAGTTTATATACTCGTTAATATTGTTATAGTTATCCGAGTCGAAGGAATTTAAGTAGGGGTGTTGAAGGTACTCAGCGTAGAGCATCCTGATTGAGTGAGACGAGGAATTGTGCATTAAATTTACCTGAGCTATTAGAGTTTATATACTCGTTAATATTGTTATAGTTATCCGAGTCGAAGGAATTTAAGTAGGGGTGTTGAAGGTACTCAGCGTAGAGTTCAATTTTATCGGTATTGGTTACGGCAGTGGAGTTATTGTAGGTTAGGGTGGTTGTAGAAACGCTTTCTATATATATGTTCTTGAATGTTTCCAGACTAGGGACAGACTACGTTTGTCATGTTTAAACAGAATTGGTCCCTGTTGTGTTCTTGTTCTTTGATAAGTTTGTTAATAGCGGATTTGGTACTGTTGATGGAGGCTTTCAGGGATATGTGGCGAGTTTCTTCTTTGCTTGATAAGTGAGATATTCATTCTGCCTTGGTAGGTATTTAGGTCATTTAGAAAAAAAAAACGTTTAAAATTTTCCTATCTTGGATTGGTCAGGGGACTGTGTCCCTCCTCACCCCACTTGTGGTTTGTGGAGACAAAGAGCAACGAAGTTTAAAAGTGTGTTTTAACATAATATTTCTGTGGGCTGCTTGGAGATTTTTTAAATTAATTGTTTTAGTGGATGGAAATAAGTGATAACACCTCAAGGAGTAAAGTTTGAGGGTAGAAGTTGATTGGTTGGATTCTGGCTGTCGAAGCTTCAGGCCCGACCCACTTGTGGTGCAAGAAACCAATAAAGAGCAAGGAAATCCGACCTGCGTCACAAGTTGCGTGCCCGCCCCTGGGAGCCATACCCTCCTCTCCAGAAAAGATTCGGTTTATTTAATATTATAGATTGATAACAATAATAACAATAACTGTGTGAAGGAATAGCGAACACGATTTAGCATTGATGTAAAATGACAAAATTTTGAACATATAGAGTAATTTGTACAGAAGTTAAAAGTTCGAATTTAAACTGAAGTTCCAAAGTAAAAGTCCTTGTCCGTACCTGGTCAATTATCTGTAAAAGGAGTTTTTGGAAAAGGCAAATGCTCAAGGTGGTTAGTAGCTTTGAATGCTTATATAGTGTTAAAAGATGATATGCGTGTATTCCCTGCTTCAGGTGTTTCTACTATTGTGGAGATTTTAGATAATAGCGAATTTTGGTGTTTGGATTTTTGGTAATAATTGGTTGATAAAGTAACAAACGTCTCTTTGATGTTCTCCAGTTTGCTTATTTTGGGTAGGTATGACCCGGGTGTGTAGGTGGAAAGGCGTAATGCTAACCTGATTGCTTTTAACTGTATGTACTCAAGTTTTCCAAAGAGATAATTTGACATATTTCAAATTATAGTGTTACTTTATTCAAGTATTGGTCCTATATACACTTTATAGATTAGGAAAATTGATTGGACGTTGCACCCTTCGGCGTAGCAGCCGATTTTGTGAAGGAAATTTACTCTTCGACTGGATTGTTTAAGTATTTCGCAAAGTGACCATTCCATGCGAGTCTATTATTGTAGGTCAGACCAATAAATGTAATTGTTTTGCTGAACTTGATGGGCCCGGCATGGCTAGGTGGTTATGGAGCTCGACTTGCAATCTGCGGATTCGAATTCCCGTCCCAACAAAAATGCTCGCCCTTTCAGCCGTGCGGGCGTTACGATGTTGTCAATCCCACTATTCGTTGGTAAAAGAGTAGCCGAAGCGTTGGCGTTGCGTGGTGATGACTAGCTACCTTCCCTCTAGTCTTTCACTGCTAATTTAGGGACGACTAGCGCAGGTAGCCCTCGTTTAGCTTTGCGCGAAATTCAAACTAAACTGAACTTGGTCTGGGTGTTACATAGTTGAAAACTTTGTTAGCTTTTTCCCCAGTTTCTTTAGTTTCTTAGAGAATATTATTGCTTTTTTCGACGGGTTGTGAATAATGCGCCAGGTGTTGCAACACACGTGACTGAGTGCTTTGAACTTTGCTAGCTTGTTTGTTTGTTTGTAATAAAGCACAAAGCTACACAATGGGCTAT